TGGAGTGTGGAGGCCCAGACTATGCAAATATATAGAGCCAGCAGTGTGCACGTGTGCACGTGTGCCTGTGTGTGTGTGTGTGTGTGTGTGTGTGTGTGTGTGTATTGCTGAGCAGTGAGTGGACTGAGCATTTAAGAAGTGGGGCTCCCAAGGAGTTGGCTGCTTAGAGGATGGAGGAAATGGAGAGGAAGCTATTTCTAGGTTGCCAAGCAGTAGTCCTGGCTGTGAGGGTTTCTCTTACTTCTCCCTCTGTGTGACAGTGGGTAACCATTCCCTCTATGTCTTGTCCCCCATTGTGGAGGGTTTGGGCAAGGTGATCTTTCCAGCTCTGACCCAATAGGCCTGATGTGACTTTGGCCAGGAAGAGGGACCCCAAGCCCATGATATGGTCAGCTGGAGTCTAGGCTAGGACTCAAATCTGGCCAGGTTTGGGGTGGGTGGCGTGGGGCCAGTGCCTGGCACAGCTGCAGTCTGGGAAGGCCTGTCTCTGACCTCCACATGCCCGCCCTCCCTGTCAGCTGTCTTGGCCCTGTCTGCCTGGCCCGGACTTCATCTCACGCCTCTGTTCTGGGAGGAGTGGCTGTGCTCTGGAGTCCCCATTGGCTAAACCTTCCCTGGCTGTACATATCCCTGCCTCCTGCTGCCAGCTTGCCCATCTTGGCCTGCTGGGAGTGGGCAGACCTCTTTGGAAGCCAAGAAGGGAATGGAGTCTGGGAGATGTATGTGGTAGCTACTGGAAGCTCTGGTCCCACTGCATGTGTACTGGTCCGGGGCCCTGCAACTCCTCCTTTGCAGGGAGTTGGGGGATAGCGGCACTGAAGTCATCAGCTTGCTTCAGGCAGGGGTTCAGCTTTGCTCATTCGAGCATGGTATTTCTGTCTCACAGGGTGATGGGGCTCCATAGCTGCCTCCTGGAAATCTCTGTTGGGCAGGCCAGACTTCAGGCTAGACCCCAGAGCCTTGAAACTAGGGTTGGGGCACCTTAGGGCATGGTGAGGGATAGATGTGGCACAGGGAGGAAGAGGGCTTTCTCTGAATCACATAGTGCCTGGGGGACAGGCTTGGATTTGTACTCCAGTCTGTCTCTGCCTGTTGCTCTGATGAGGCCCTACGGTGCTCCCAGCTCTTTTGGGTCTAATTTGTTGTGTATCCTTGGTGTTTGGCCCAGAACCCAGTGAAGAGGAAATGCTTGCTGAATGCATGAACAAATGAATGAATGAATGAATGAATGAATGAATGAATGAATGAACCAATGAATAAAAGAGCTGTGGAATCATGGGTCCTGTTTCCAGACTCATGGAGTCCAAAGGGAAGGCCACAACCTAGCAGAGGAGGTGGATGGTTCTTGGGGATGAAGAGGAGAAGCAGGGAGAGGCTCAGTGTGCTGACTATTAGCCCAGGCCCTGCCATCCTCGACTTCCTCTTTTGCACAATGGGGGCCATGATTCCTGACTTCTGCCTTCCTGTTCAGCATCTCACAAAGTCAAGGATATGGTGATTCAGAGCGCCATGTGGGGACTTCACTGTGTGTGCCCGCCACCAGGAAGCCCCACCATGTATTCCCTTTGTTTTGCCTGCCAACCCTCTGCATCTTGCCTCCTGCAAGACTGATTTCCTCAGCTGTTCCAGGGCTCCTTTCTAGAATGTTCTTCTCAGAGGTCCTGACTGTAAGAGTGGTTTGGTGGGGCGGGAGAGATGGCTCAGCGGTTAAGAAAACTGACTGTTTTTCAGAAGACCTGGGTTCGAATCCCAGCACCCACATGGCAGCTAATAACTGTCCATAACTCCAGCCCCAGGGGATCTGACAGCCTCTTCTGACCTCTGGGGTCATTGCACCACACGGGTGCTCTTACCTACATGCAGGCAATACATGCATACACATAAAAAGTAAATAAATAAATAAAATTAGAAAAAAAGTGGTTTGGGAAGAGTGTGGGAAAATAGTGCCTACCTGCTTTTCTCTACCTGCTCCCACCCCTAGAAAGTCAGTCACCAGCAATGGCAGCACATCCATGTAGGCCCCCAAGTGCACAGCTAGACTGGAGGTGCCTTTGGCAGTAATTTCCATGGTGATAGACCCAGCTGTTTTGACTGTAGCAACTTTTAGACTGCCTTTGAGAGCCTGAAAAAGGGGCAGCTGTCATCTTGAACCCCCAACTAGGCTGAGAGTTCCTAGGACTCCTTCCTCTTCTCACTTCTTGAGGCCCAGCACTATGCCTGGTACCCTGAGGCTCTTGGGAAGAAGCTGTGTCTCTGGGACTCACGGCAATTCTGGGTCACATAGGCCTGGCTCAACTCTAGGAATCATAGACTTTGAACAAGTTACCTTGCTATCTTCTGAATTTGTCAGGTTAGCTGTGGGACCCTGGTGGAAGGTATTATCTAGGATATACAGGCTATGGCCCAAGAGCCAACTATGCCCCCATCCCAGAGCTGACGGCTCACATCTGGTCACCTTCATACTTACTGCTGCTGTTTCCAAGCCCCAGGGCCTCACCCTCTTCTTGTCCCAAGAGGCCCTGGAGCAGCGTATGTGTTGGGCAGGAGCTCAGATCACAGGCAGACTTCTGGGACTGCAGTTGGGCTTTACCACTGACCTAAGCCTCAGTTTCCCGTGACAGGAGTTTAGTAATGCACCAGTCTCACAGGTTTGTTGTTTAAATGAAATTAGATTAATACATTTGAAGTCCTGAGGAGAATGTGCAGCACTTAAGAGCTGTGTACAAGCTGTTCCTGTCACCACCCCACACAGTTATCATTGGCCGTGAGAACTGGAACCCAGTGCCTGGCCCTGCCCTGTTTTTTCTCACATGTGCAGGTGTGCCTAGCTCTTCAGCTTACCGTCTGACTAGGGATGCAGCCAGAAAGACAGATGGGACAGGAGGTCTCCCTATCTGAAGAACTTCCAGGCCCTCCTTCTGCCTAGAGAGCAAGACAGGAATGCTCCAAGTTTAAAACACCACCTTGAAACCTTACCTTTCATGTATGAGTTCTAGAACTGTCTGCTGGTTCTCTAACTGCCTCAGATGGCTGACAATGACTATCTAGAGCTTCATAGTCAATAGATCTGAGTGCTGAAGATTAGCACCCACTGAAGTTCACCTTCTGAGGTCATCTCAAGAAGGAGGGAGCCTGAGAAGGACCCATGGGCCTGTGGGAATGACATTGGACCTGCTGCTTGAGATACTGTACTGGGAACAAATCCTGAGCTCTGCTGACCCAGGGATGGCTGCATAGGTGGTGGATCGATCAGTCTTCCTTATCTCCCCTCCATCCTCCTTCTTTCTTTCCTGATCTTACTTTTAAAGAAAATTTTTGGTTTATTTATATTTTATATGTATGAGTGTTTTATGTACATGTATGTAAGTGCACCCATGCATGCAAAGCCCATGGAGGTCAAAAGAAGGCATCAGACCCCCTGGAATTGGAGTTATGGACAGTCGTCAGCTGCCATGTGGATGCTGGGAACCAAACTCGGGGCCTCTGGCAGAACAGCCAGTGTTTTAACCACTGAGCTGTCTCTCTAGCCCCTTCATTTATATTTTTATTCATTTATTTTTATTTTATGTGTATGATTGTATTGCCTGCATGTGTGTAAGTGCACCAGCATTGTGCAGTGCCTGTGGAGGTCAGAAGAAGGCATCGGATTCCCCTGGAACTGGAGTTACAGACAACTGTTAGCCGCCATTTAGGTGAAAGGAATCAAATCTGGGTACTCTGTAAGAACAGCCAGTGCTCTTAACTACTGAGCCATCTCTCCAGCCCCTTACATTTTAAGATTTACTACTTTAAGCTCTTATTTTTTAAAGATAAGGGCTCACTATGTAGCCATGGCTGGCCTGGAACTCCTTATATAGACCAGGCTGGCCTTGAATTCACAGAGACTGCCTGCCTCTGCCTACTGAATGCTATGATCAAAGGTGTGCACCATAGCATCCAGCTTCTTTAAATGTTTTTAAGTGTGCAGTTCAGTGGCATTACCTGTACTTATATCGGGCCACCATCATCATTAACCATCTCCAGAACATTTTCATCTTCCTAAACCAAAACTGCCTCCCTGCTCCATTAAATAGTAACTCAGCTCCTAGTGACCCACTGTACTTTCTACGAATTTGCTCCAAGGACATCCTATGAATGGCATCCTAGTCTTCATCCTTTGTGACTGGAGTGTCTCCAGATAATGTGCATACTGTTCATTTCTTTTGGAGAGTGTCTCAGAATTTCTTTTCAAGGCTGAGGTAGAGACACATGACTGCACGTGTATGCCTACCATATTTAAAAAGTATTTATTTGTATATGTTTGTATTTGTGTGAACATGTGTGTGTTTGTGCCTCTCTCTCTCTCTCTCTCTCTCTCTCTGTGTGTGTGTGTGTGTGTATGTAAGTTGTGCGAAGCTGTGTATGCATACAGAGGCCAGAAGAGGGCACTGGGGGTTATCCTCTATAAGTTCCTAACTATTTCTTTGAGGCAGGGCCTCTCTCTGAACATGGAACTTGCATTTTCTAGGCTAGGCTGGCAGCCAGCAAGCTCCATTGATTCTCCGGTCTCCACCTCCCTCAGAGCTGGGGTTACAGGAGTTTGTAGGATGCCTAGTTGGTCATATGGATGCTGGGATCTGCGCTTTAGTCTCCATGACTGTTCAACAAATGCTCATAACTGTTGAGCCGTCTCTCCAGCCCCCTACCATGTTTTGTGGAAGGGGAAGTCTTCCAAGAGAGAAGGTCAAGAACCTAGAATAGTGGCATGTCTGTAATTCCGGACTTATTTTTCCAGCTGGAAAAAGAAAGGTAGGGTCTGGAGAGATGGCTCAGAGGTTAAGAACACTGGCTGCTCTTGCAGAGGACCTGATTTGGAGCACTCCCCCATTGACTGGAGATGGTGGCCACTCTTGTTTGGGCTTTGGGAGGTGGTCCTGGCCACTTCTTTTCCTTTGTCCCTCAGGTGTCAAGACTGTGCAGAACTTCAGACAACTGACTACACTGTCCCCCTATGTCCCCAGGGCTTGGCCTCTGTGTTCTCTGGCCGCATATCTCGGAAATCAGTCTCCCATACAGAGGACATCGGTGACACCATGGCAGATAACAAGCGGTACCGGAACCCTACAGAAGTGCAGATGAGCCAGCTGGTACTGCCCTGCCACACTAACCATCGAGGGGAACTGAGCGTTGGGCAGCTGCTCAAATGGATTGACACCACAGCCTGCTTGTCTGGTGAGGCAGTGCTCCAGGCTCTCCATGTCCCCACCAGTGGCTCTGTGGAACTTGGGCAGGGGACTCAGGTTTTAAAGATAATCTCTGTCCCACTTACTAGTGCCCATGTTTACTTCTCCTCTTGGCTTTTACCCTTGCCTCAAATGCCCTGCCCATCTTTTAGTTCTTGGGGCAGCCTGCCTCTCTTCCCACAGACCCCCCAACCCTGGGTGTTGGTATCATGAATAGGTCCCTAACCACAGCAGCTTCCTGATTGCCTGGAAAAGACTGGGCACAGAGACCATGACCATAGCTATTTATGGTCTTTCCTATAATGGTCTTTTGTTGCACCTGTGTTTTCCAGTCCCCAGGGATTCATGTACACACTTGAGTACTCTGGCGGGGTTTGAGAAGCCCTGAGCCAGCCCTGGAGCCAGGGAAGGGATTCCAGAGGAAACAAGGCACTGAGGCAAGGAAGGAGAGGTGGAAAAAGAAAGACAGGTAGGGGCTGGAGAGATGGCTCCGAGGTTAAGAACATTGGCTGCTCTTGCAGAGGACCTGATTTGGTTCCCAGTACCCATATGGTGGCTAACAACTGTCCATAACTCCACTTCAGCATATCTGACACCTTCTTCTGGCCTCTGTGGGTGTTGTATGACACAGGTGCACTTACATTTATGCAGGCAAAACACTCATACACATAAAATTGAAATAAAGAAAAAAGAAAAATAAAGGTAGGCAATCCAGGTGGAGAAGCTTCTGAAAGAGGGATGTTTGATAAGACCCGGGGAGACTGCTAATGTCTGGCTTTCTTCTTCTGAGCCAGCGGAGAGGCATGCCGGCTGCCCCTGCGTCACGGCCTCCATGGACGATATCTACTTTGAGCATACCATTAGGTAAGTGGTCCTTCTGGATTCACCACCCTCTTAGTCTCCCCACTACCACCATAGGGCCCGCATCCCTGTCTCCCCACATAGCCAGACTGTGTCACACCTGGAACTCACTCAACTGACTGGTGGCCTCTGAAGATAGAATCATGTTGTCTCTGGGAGGAAAGGCCTTTCTGCAGGTGTTTAGACAGCAGTGTCCTGTCCTGGACAGCAGGACAGGAGTTGCCTGTTTCTTTGTGCCATAAGGTGGGCTTCCTTGCCAGGGAAGTTGACTCAGGTTTGCAGTTGGACTTGGTGGCCTGAGGCCAGGCTGTGTAAATATGCAAAATCAGTCATTTGGGGGTCTGAGATAGTATCATGGGGTACTGTGTGACTTTGAGGAAGTCAGATTCTCTCTCTCTCTCTCTCTGGGCCTTCTTACCTGCAAAGTGGAAGGGTTTGAACTTGACAAGACACCAGTCACCCTTGGTTTACTTGTACCCATGAAATCCTTTTCTTTTTTCTTTTTTAAAAATTTATCTATTATTTTTATGTGTATGAGTGTGTTGCCTGTATGCATGTAAGTGCACCCATGTCGTGCAATGCCCAGAAGAGGGTGTTGGATTCCCTGGAACTGGCGTTATGGATGGTTGTTAGCTACCATGTGGGTGCTAGGAATTGAACCTGGGTCCTCTGTAGGAGCAGTCTGTGTTCTTAACCACTGAACTATCTCTTTAGCCCCTCCTTTTCTTTTTTCAGTGGCTATACTGGTGAGAAAGCTCTTCAAAGCACCCCTACTTTCTTTGCTATATGTCCCCAACCTGCTGGGACCCAAGGAGGAGGCTGAGCCCTCAGCCTAGGAAAGGCTACACACAGAACTCTTCCTGGCCCACTTCTAGATTTGCCATCCATAATTAGAACATCAGGTGCCAAGGGCTTATTCAGGGCTGCCTGCTGTTCTGTGGGTTAGTGTCAAGGAGGACATTTGGCCAGTCCCTGTGCTCAGCCATTCATCACTCACTGCATACTCAGTATTAGTTGAGCACCTTTTCTGGATTGGTGTCATGGGGAGTTTGGGGACACAGACTCCAGAGGACGGTCTGTGCCTAGGAGCACCCAGTTTGCAGAGGGGGCAAATATAGAAACATCATGTCCATTTACAGTGGGAAGTTGGGTGGAGGTGTGGCTCAGTGGTAGAGTATGTGCTTAGCATGCAGGAGGCCCTGGGTTCAATCCTAACCGTTATCACTATAACAAAATTAGGAAGTTCCACAGTAACAGTGAGCTTCATCATACTTTTCTCTATACCTTTTTTCCCTTAGTGCTTGGGATTCAACCCAGGGCTAGGTAAACATTCTACCACTGAGCCATGCCCTTGGTTTTTCTTTTTCTGAGACAGGGTCTTACTGGGTGGCTGTCTTCAAACTCTCAGTCCTCCCATTGAAGGCTTCCAAGTGTGGGGATTATAGGTGTGTGCCATCACACCCAGCTTCTATATACTTTTTATTTAGCATGATTTCAGGTTGACACAAAGGTTTTATATCTGAAAGCAATTCTGAGTTCCTATATACTCCACTCCACACCCAGGTCCCCTCTTCTTAGCTTCTTACATTTATGGGTACCTTCGTGACAAGGAATGAAGCAGTATCAGAACCTTACCATGCCTTTTTAGCAAATTAACATTTAAAAAATATTTTATTTATTATTTTTATTTTATGTGTTTGAGTGTATTGCCTGCATGTATGTGAGTGCATCTGTGTCGTGCAATGCTGTGGAGGTCAGAAGAGGGCTTCGGATTTCCCCGGAACTGGAGTTAAGGATGGTTTGTAGCCACCATGTGGGTGCTGGGACTCGAACCTGGGTCCTCTGCAAGAGCAATCAGTGTCCTTAACCTCTGAGCCATCTCTCCAGCCCCCAGCACATTAACATATTTAATCCTCAGGGCAACACTATGAGGTGATGAATATAGTGCCCTCATTTTATAAAGGAGGAAAGCCAAGGCACAGAGAAGTGAGGTAACTTGTTTAGGTTGCACAACTGGCAGAAGATCCAAGATCCACTACCAGGCAGCCATCTGGCCCTAGATTCCTTGCTTTTCACTGTGGGCTGCATGGGGGTGGGCTGGCCAGGAAGGTTGTCAAGGGAACTTCCTGGAGAGATTTGAGCTCTCTGACCGCAGGACTGTGAGCTCTGTGCTTTGGAGGCCATAATACCACATGTGGGCCTGCTCTGGTCCCCACTGCCAACTCCTGTCCTCCTCTTTGAGAAACTAGGTATGCCTTGGGTGTCTGGAAGGTTAAGGTGAATCTGGGAAGAGGGTGTGAAGGAGAAGGGCATGTTACAGAGGGCCCAGAGTATGACTGGTGGCCAGGAAAGGCTTAGCAACACCTGAGAACAACTGGAGTTTGTTTCAGTTTTTGCCATTTTCAAAAACATTTCAAACCTGGCATGGTGATGCATACCTAGAATCCTAGCACTTGGGAGACTGAGAGGGGAGAATTGCTGTGAGTTTGAGGCCAGCCTGGGATACACAGTAAAACTCTGTCTCAAAAAAACTCCAAATAAATAAGCAAAAACATTTTGGGGGCTGAAGAGATGGCTCAGAGGTTAAGAGCACTGGCTACTCTTGTAGAGGACCCAGGTTTGGTTCCTAGCACCCACATGGTGGCTAACAATTAGCCATAATCCAGGGGATCTGACACCCTCTCCTGATCTCCATGGGCATTGCACGACACAGGTGCACTTACATACATGCAGGCAATATACTCATACATATAAAATAAAAATAATGAATAAAATAAAAACATTTCAAGGAACTGACATAGCGGCACACGCCTATAATACCAGCATGGAGGAGTGGAGGTAGGAGGGTCATGAGTTCAAGGTTAGCCTGTGTTGGGGTCCTCTGTTATGCAAAGTAGAAGTCTCTTCATGTCCGGATAGCTCACGAGCTCGGAAACCATGTGCTGCAGATTCCTTTTCATAGCAGAGTGCCTTCCTGGCATCCTCCCTGACTCTTCTTTTAAAGTGCTCGCCACAAATACATGCCCTCCGGCACAGGAGCTACCAGGTTTTTAATCAGGCGTTGTCTGATAGCCTGATAGAAGCCCACCGCCCTATGTAAATGAGGCATCCTAAAAGTACCTATCAGCTAAGGCTTCTTCTGCTGTCTCTACACTATAAATAGTCCTAGTTTTACCCCAATAAAGCTGGAGCTGGAGCTGAATCACTGAGATCTGAGCTGAGTCACTTGTCTTGAGCTGTAACACTAAATCCTGTGATCCAGTCTCCCCGGGGGGCGCTATTCCTCTGTCACCGACTCGCGGACACCCTGGCTTTCGCCGTCCCTCGTACGCTTCCCGTGTGGTCCAAGTGGCCAGTGGACCTCACATCCTGAGGAAGGTATATGGGTGAAATAGGGACGGGATCGACTGAGTAGACCTCAGTAGCGGAGGAACTTTCACTGCCCAGGAGTGCGCGCTGGGACCCTGAGAGCCCAGCGCGTGCTTGCCTATAAGCCTGGTGTACATAGTGGAACCCTATTTCAAACAAAACAAGGCAAAGCAAAATATTTGCAAATGTATCAGTAAGGACTAAGAACTCATTTTAAACATAACTTCCATACCATTACTGCACCTAACAAAATGATCATCTCTCCCCACCAGCGATGTGCAGTCAGTATGCAGATGCCCATGCTGTCTCATGAGCTGGTTTTTATTTTGTTTTGCTATATAGTTGTTTTGCTATTTTAGTCAGGCTGAAAATCAGTCTGCAAGTCAGTTGAGTCTTTAGATATCCCTTACCCCTGATTCCAGCTCTCTTGTATGTGTGAAGGTGTTCTTTCTGGTTAATTTCTTACCTTTGAAGTTTGTGTGTTGAGGACAGCTGGTCATAGCTGTAAGCATCACCATGGTGTAACATGCTGCTCTGTCCCCTGAGAGCAAATGGGTCCTAGGGAAGGGCTTGGCAGGCTCTGGTTCATTAAGTGGGCCACACCTGTGCATTGTGAAGAATGTATGGAAGGTGTTGGGAAGCAGAGGCTCATGGGGACCTTGGAGGAGGCTCATCAGTAATAGGGAAGGAGCCTGTGTGGGCCCGAGCCCTGGAGATAGAGGACAAGCAGGAAAGGAGAGAAGCTCCCCAGTCCAAATGGGTGTCTGCTGGGCTCTGGGGGAGGTCACACACTTCCCTCAGCATCACATCTATCTTCTAGGGGAAGGGGGTCTGCTAGGATTGAACTCAGGGACTCAGGAATGCTAGGCAAGCACTCTACCACTGAGCCCTCCTCAGTACTCTTCCAACACCTCAGAAAGCAGATGTCTGTATTTATATCAGCAGTCCTGATCTGTTCCCAGATCCCTGGTGGTTGCCTGAAACTGTGACTGATACTAATCCTTATGCATACTATGATGTCTCCTGTAGGTACATACCTATGATAATAACTTAGTTCAAAATTAGGCACTGGTAGGGTTTGGCAAAAAGGCTAAGCCAGGTCTAGTGGCACAAGCCTGCATTGCCAGCTTACTCCAGAGACTGGGGCAGGATGATCACAGATTCAAGGCCTTTGTGAGCTACAGGGTGAGTTCAAGATCAGCCTGGGCAACTTAGTGAGAACTTGCCTCAAAATGAAAAGTAAAAAGAGCCAGGGATACAACTCAGTGTAGAGCACTTGCACAGGGTCCTAAGTTCAAGCCCCAGTACCGTGTGTGTGTGTGCGCGTGTGTATGTGTGTATAATCAAATAGACCAATTATAACAATATACTTTCATAAACATTAAAACTTTTGTTATTTCTGAAAATTTCCACTTAATATTTTCAGACTGAAGTTGATATCAGTTCATCGGAACCAGAACAGCAGTCACAAATAAGAGTGCTGCCATACCCCAGGGACCATAAAAGGGGTTTGTTGTTGTTTTGGTTTTTATCTTTTTAAATTTCTGATTATTAAAACTCCAAACACATAGAAATGTGTGAAATGGTCACTGTTACTAAGATACAGTAGTTAATGTTCTGTTTGATTTGCTTAATTTACATAAGGACAAATGTATGAATAAACATACTTTACAAATAACCATCTCCTACATGAGTGTTCGCGCAGCTGAAAACATTTACAGGGCTAAAGTCTCCAGTGCCATGAGCACATGTAACTTACTGAGTCCCTGCACTGGGCTGGCCAGGTGCCTCTCATTGGCCCTTAGAGGGATGGCAGTACCCATGAATTATCAGAACTTTACACAATAGGAAACACTCATAGAGGAGAGGTGACCAGCCCCAGGTCACTAGCTTGGTGGTGTAATAGTTGAGGCAGAGCTTGACAAACTCAGTTCTGTGTGGCCTCACTCTTGTCCTGTGACTGGCATACCGTGGAAGTGACTTCCAGGCTTGGGCAGGACGCAGTGTGTTCCACATGTTCATGAGCCAGAGGTGGAGGTCACATAGTGATTGATCCAGGCCAGCTGTCCAGGCTCCTGCCCCCTCACCCCGACAGATCATAAGCTGGGCATGCCTTGCTGCCTCCAGTTAGGCACTGAGCAAGCTAGGTGGTTCCTAGGAGATTTGTGGGAATCATTTCCAGGGGGACAGGCTGCAGCTGGGAAAAATCAGGCTGCTTCAGTACAGCCAGTCTAGAATCCCTACCCTGTTGCATGCTAGCTGGGTGATCTTAGGCAAATGACAGTCTCTCTGATGTTCAGCCCCATGTAAGCTCACCTTCTGAGCTTGTTTTGAGGTTCAAATGTGGAAGTGCGCAGCACATGTGGTAAGCATTGTTCAAGTGTTCCCGTTTTCCTACCCACCCCTTCCTTCAGCCCCTAGGACTTAGCAGGCATTCAGTAAATGTGAATGGACTGATTCAGTCGGTCTCTGTTTATGGAGGGTTCACTCTGTTACATGTACTTGGTGGGTCAGTGAGCAAAATATATGCTCCCTGGAATGGGATATAGCTCAGTGGTTCAGCACATGGCTCACATGCAGGAGCCCTGGGTTCTTTTCTCTGAACTATAAAACTGAAACAAAAGTGATTGCATTTGGCCCAGTGGCGTTTAAGGGCTGGGGAGGTAGAGATTTGCACTTCAGAAGTGTTTTGTGGGGAGGTCTTGGCACTGGGTCCAGGAAAGCTGCCCTAGGGAGGGAACTGTGGAGCAAAAAGAAGCAAAGCACCGGACAGGAGAACAGGGAGAAGCAGGAAACACGCGGAATTGTCACTTCTCAAAGCCCTGGCGTCTCCACCTGTAGGATGGGTGCTGGCACTGTCTGCTGGCTTGACAACATCACAGGTGTGAGCATGTTCTGGCGCCCTGAAGTGCTCTTGCCAGTTCCCCTCCCCTCGCCCCTCCAGCAGAGGCACTGAGTGAGGCCCCTGTCCCCTCCGCTGGCCCCTTCAGGAGGCTTACCTTTGCTTTCCTCTCCTCAGTGTCGGCCAGGTGGTGAATATCAAGGCCAAGGTGAACCGGGCCTTCAACTCCAGCATGGAGGTGTGTGTGGCTGGACCTGCTCGGGGTGGGATGGTCTTCCCTGTCCTCTTCTGTCCTCAAAGTGCCAAGCCCAAGCCCTCTCACACAGCAGGGCCCTAGCTACAGTTCCAAAATGTCTGACTAAACCTTTCCTTACCAATATTCTGTAGTGCAGAGGGAAACATGGAGGCCATGAAGGGAAGGGACTTGCTCAGGTCACAGCACTGTGCAGATACCCATGTAGGACTTCCACCCCTGGCCAGGCACATTAGTAGCAGGTGACAAGCGTGGAGGAAGGCAGTGTGGTCTGATCATGGAAGAGGCTGGGATTCAGACTGTTAGCTCACCTCTATGGCCTCTGTCCCTGCAGCTGTACAGTGGGCCATGGCTCCTGTGTTGCTGGGTGCTGAAGGTTTAGTGGGAGGATGACAAGGTGTTGTGCAGGCCTTAGGAGCTCCTGAGGAGGGCTTCATTCTTTCCATGGGCTAAAGGTTCTGAAAATTCACCTAGCAAGCCACTTGTTCCTGAAAGCTACAGAGGCTGGGGTGGTGGTGTCCTGATTATGCTTCTGGGTACATCACAAATACCCAGGTACTCCCAGGAACACCATATATCCATCCTTTCAGTTTCAACAGTGTACCTACTGAAGCTGGTTGTGGATAGGAGCATGTTTTAATCCTGTGATCAGTCTCATTCTACGGAAGAGAGATTCAGAGAAGGGAGGTGGCTTACCTGAGGTTCTCTGGGGAACTAGAGGCAGAGTTGGAACCAGCTCTAGGTCTCTGGCATTCCACACTTAGTAGGTGACACAAAAATTGAGGCCCAGCCTGGGGGTTTCTAGTGTTGCCCAGCTGAGGGCCTCCAGTAGATGGACTCTGTTCCTCCCTCCTCCCTCCTCCCTCCTCCCATCTCCCTTTTCCTCTCCAGGTGGGCATCCAGGTGGTCTCCGAGGACCTGTGCTCTGAGAAGCAATGGAGCGTGTGCAAGGCCTTGGCCACCTTTGTGGCCCACCGGGAACTCTCCAAGGTGGCTGTTCCACCACACCCCCAGGGGCCCCTTTATGACTCCAACCAGGCATCATCCCCTCCTTCCCCATCTCTCCCTGTACATCTCAAATGGGGGGAAACTTCAGAACATGCCTAAATTCTAAATGGACCCCTTTAGTTTCTGGGGCTTCTTCCAAGGAGGGAGGCTTGAGGAGTTATAGTTATATTCATGCTGTCACAATGGAGACAGAAAGGTGGACACAGAGAGGCTAGAGCCCTGAATCCCCCATCAGCCCAGGCCCAGTAGGCACCACCCTCAGGCATTAGGTGGGACTGGGAGACAGGTCACTACACTGCCTTAGAAACTTGTCCCATGGGTCCCCTGGCCAACAGGTAAAGCTGAAGCAGGTCACGCCACTGACAGAGGAAGAGAAGACCGAGCACGGGGTGGCAGCTGAGCGCCGGAGAATGCGTCTGGTTTATGCAGACACCATCAAGGACCTCCTGGCCCGCTGTGCCATCCAGGATGGTGAGTTGAATGCGGGGTTGTGCACAAGAAGGCATCTGGTACCCTTGCACCCCTGCAAGTGGAAGAAGGAAGGGATTCCCTAGGTACCGCCATCCCTGGTTGCCTCAGGCCCTTCTAGTCCTCTTTGCCTCAAGGTCTCCTTCAGGGAAAGCAGGTGTTGGAGTCGCTGACCCAGAGCCCAGGAACAGTGGAGATACAATGGGGACCTACAGAAATCCATTTGATACCCACAATGCAGTTGGGTCTCTAGGAGACATGAAGTGTGGGAAGGTAGTGAGTGCTGGGCTAGGCTTTGAAGACTTGTAGGATTTTTGTTTGTTTTTTTATTTTTATTTTATATGTATGAATGTTATGTCTGCATGTATGTAAGTGGACCATATGCATGCAATGTCTGTGGAGGCCAGAAGAGAATGTCAGATTGCCTGGAACTAGATTTATAGACTGTTGTTATCCACCATGTAGGTGCTGGGAACCAAACCAGGGCCCTCTGCAAGAACATCCAGTGCTCTTAACTGCTAAGCAATCTCTTTGGCCCCTGTTTGATTTTTTTGAGACGGGGCTTCCCTATAGCCCCAGCTAGCCTGAAACTGCCTATGGAGACCAGGCTAGCCTCATTCTCACAGAGATCCATTTGCCTCTGCCTCCTGAGTGCTGGGATTAAAGGCATGTGCCACCATACCCAGCTGACTTGTAAAATTTTTAAAAAGCATCTGTGTATTGTGTGTATATATTTTCTTTTTCCCCAAGAGAGATAAAGATAAAAAAACAAGGCTCCCTCTATCCTAGAGCCCAGGTCACCTCCACAGAGGCAAATTCTATTACTTCATTTTGAATATCTTTATAAGCATATTCCCTATGGTTTTAGTATATATTATTTAATTCCCCACTTTTCCTCAAAAGGGAGCACACAGAACACATTGTTCTATATCTTGATTTTTTTTTTTCTCTTGTGGAAATGCTCTTGGTAGTTTTTCTGTCAGTAAAAGAAGATCTGCCTTGGACTGGGTGGGATTTTGGCAGGTATAGAGAGGTGAGGAAGGTGTTCCTGCCAGAGAGCAAAGGCCCAGAGGGATGGGGATTGGGCCTTCAGTTTCTTTATCCATCTCTAGAATGTTCCTATGTGAGGTCTTCCTTGATACTGAAGGGAAGCAATTTGAGGGCAAATAGAAGGCAGTTAAACTGAGCAAAGGGATACAAACCTGTAAACCCAGCACTCAGAGGCTGAGACAGGAGGAACATGAGGTAGAGGCCAGCCTCAGCTACATATGGAGTTCAAGCCTACCCTGGGACACAGAGATCCTGTCTCAAACCCAAACCAAAACCAAAACGAAAAACAAGCAAACAAAAAACTGAGTGTCAGCTGGGCATGGTGGTGCACATGTGTAATTCTAGCACTCAGGAGGCTGGGACAGAAGGATCAGGAGTTGAAGACCAGCCTAGCCATCTGAGCTATATCTCATCCTACCCCCCAAACCCAAGGGAACATTGTGTGGTGGCTCATTCTGTAATCCTAGCACTTGGCAGGCTGAGGCAGGAGCATTGCTGTGAGTTTGAATCCAGCCTCAGCTATACAATGAGTTCCAGGTCAGTCTGGGGGCTACAGAGTAAGACCTGAAAAAAATAGAAAAGAAAAAAGACCAGTGAGATGGTTCAGCAAGTAGAGGAACTTGCTGTGTAAGCCTGACAATCTGAGCACCAGAATCCACATAAAGGTAGAAGGGGAGATCCAACTTCTCAGTTGCTCTCTGACCTCTACATGCATGCTCTTTGGTGTATGTATTGCATTCCAGGTCAACTAGAGATATATGGAGAGATCTTGACCCAATAACAGACAGAAAAACAGGTAGTCAAAAAATATTCAGAAAACCAAGGGCTGAGGTGTAAGTCAGCACTTGCATAGTACATACAAAGCACTGGGTTCAGCTCCCAGCACTGAAAGCAGCAACAACAAACCAGAAACGAAAAGCCAGGTAATTATTCAGGGGACAGAGAGGGGAGAGAGCAGATGAAACTTGCTAACCACAGTGGAACAGCTTGCTGAATTCTGAGTTCCTTGAGCCCTCTGGTACTGGGTTTGGGGGATGGAAGCCCAGCTCTGTCAGCCCTTTGTGTCTGTCCATCTCATCACAGCCCTCCCAAATCTCTCCTCTCCTGAAAGCCTGTCTCCCAGGGTCAGTCTAGATACTTTTGCCTAGCATCCAGTCAGACTAAATCTCAGCCCCAGAGTATGGTATCCTCTCCCTCAGCTCAGCCAAAGGCCTTGTTACACCTTTCAACCGTCCTGACTGTATCAACTCCAAACCTAGGTCATCCTCAATTTTCAATCCTATTTCTATCTTGCCTGTGGCATCTCACAGGGCCTTCCATCACTCTGCTGGGTCCCCTGAAGAGGACTCTCCGGTGACTCTGGAGATACATGGCAGCACCTTAGCTTTGGCTGGGCACATTGGCATATGCTTCTTGGACCCCTGAGGCCCTGTTGGCTTGCTTGTCTCTTCTACCTGGTAACCTAATGCCATTCCTGCAAGGGGCAAGGACCGGTCAAACAGGTGGCAAGTACTGTCCTAAGAGTGTAGCTGCAGAGTATGAGCAGAGCACATTATAGCTATGTTCACACCTCCCCTTCACACAGCCCTACCTGGATGGGGTTGGCGCTTGCTCCAGACAGGTGGGCACTTGAGTGCTAGAGGGGTTGCTTGATGTATCAGTGTCATATGGTCTGTGTGGAGTGGAGCAAAAGCTGGCCCAGGTGTGCCCTGTGGCAGGCTCAGGTCCCTCCTTCTGTGTCCTCGCGTTCCTTACCCAGGACCGACCTCGGCCTTATGCTCACTTAGTGATAGTAAATTAATGTCCCGGGATTGGAGGGTGGTATCCTAAGACTTCCAGGGACAGTCTACCCTCAGGGATCCTTACCTCCTTACTTTCCTCCCTGGCCAGATCTTGACAGCAAGGACTACAGCAACATGGTGCCAGCCGAGAAGACCCGTGTGGAGAGTGTGGAGCTGGTCTTGCCCCCACATGCCAATCATCAAGGCAATACCTTTGGGGGCCAGATCATGGCCTGGATGGAGAACGTGGCCACCATTGCGGCCAGGTGAGGCAGCCTCTGCTCACCTCTGCTCCTCTGCTTCCAGAGGCTGTTTCGTTGGCAAGAGAATCCCTGGCTAGTGTCAGCACTCAAGGCTCCTCAAGTGTGGCTGTTCTTCTAGGGTAACTCAGGTCTTCCAGATCCAGAGAACCAGAGAGGACCATTCTTGTGAGCTTGCTCTCCCTTCCTCTATTCACAAGACCATTCTCCTATTCCCTCTGGCCACTGGGAGCCCCTTCGATCTGGCCTTGCCTGGATTCCTAGTAACTGTTCCTTCAGGCCCTGTTGTCCCCCCTTCATGGGTCCTCACCTTTGCTCCTGGTGTGACCTCCTACCATGCAGGGCTCTGCTCTCATCCTACCTGCCTCCCCAAACCATCTTCTGTCCCTCACCCCCAAAGCTACCTCCCACTGGTCCCTCTTCTAAGTGCTGAACACTGTTCCTGCTTCCTCCTGAACCCTTGTGCCTGGTTGGAGCTCACATGACTCTAATGTAGGGATTTAAAAAAGTAGTTATTTAAAAACTAGTGACAATCACTAGTTGACATTCTTGTACCTCTGTTTCTTTGTCCTTGCCACAATCTCTGCCAGGGGGTTGTCCCCAGCCCATGCCCTCCTCCACTAGGCTAGTTTTTGTCTTTAGAACCCATGTCAGGCTGACTCTCCTCTGATGTTAAGCTGGAGATGGTGTCTAAGTAATGGCTTTTGAAGAGCCTGGGCTGTGAGTGCAGGGAGACCTGACGAGAGTGCTGGGTCTCTAGTGACTAGGAGCTTTGGGAGGGGTTTGCCCAGGTCCTGCCTAGGTTTTCTTCTCTCCTCAAACTCAGCTCCTTTTCCAGCCATGCACAGTGGCTACAGTTTGCTAAACTGGAAACAGTCTTATGCTGTGGTTTGAGCAGAACCATCCCAGGGGTTGGACCAGAGGGCTATCCCTGTGGTCCCAGGGTGGTCTGAGGCTTGGGGGTCTGGAGAAGGCTTGCCCAAATCCACTGATGCAGCATTGGCTATTTCTTGTCTTCTCATCCTCACTCACAGTCGGCTATGCCGTGCCCACCCTACACTCAAGGCCATTGAGATGTTCCACTTCCGAGGCCCATCCCAGGTGGGAGACCGTCTGGTGTTCAAAGCCATTGTGAACAATGCCTTCAAGCATAGGTGAGAGCCTGGGATGATGGGACTGGGACACCCAGGGCTGAAGGTTCTTTCCAACCTTAGAAAGAACCCTAATGCAGACCTGCCCAAGCTCTTCCCTGGCAGATGGCAGATGGGGTCATCCATATAGCCCAAGTTTAGCTAGTATTCGCTACTCTGGAATCTTCCCTGGTTCCTACTATTGTCTCACTGGCTGGTTCAGGGTCTTCTCTAGGTTTCCTAGGGGCTGTGCCTTCCATCAGTTGGGAAGGTGCCATGTGCTTGAATGCTCTGTCTATCCTCTGCTTACTGGAGAACTGAGCCCCTAGGATACATAGATCACTGGGTGCTGGGGATGCACAGGCCGTGAGGCCACTTCTTACTCACATTCTGATGTTTCTCAAACCTGTCCCACCCCATGTCCTAAAACAGTTATTCCTGAGGCTCACCTTGGAATGAATTCTGTTGTGTATTCTCATGACAGCTGACTTTATTAACTTATTTTTTTACTTTTTTTTTGTTTGGTCTTTTTGAGACATGGTCTCCCGGTAGCCCCAGCTGGCCTGGCACTCACTGTGTAGACCAGGCTGACCTTGAACACACAGAAATCCACCTGCCTCTTCCTCCCCATTGCTGAGATTACAGGAGTGTACCACCATGCCTGGTGACAGTTGAATTTATAAGACTCATTCTGGTGGTTTCTGAGAGCATAGTCTACTTATTAAAAATGAGGGGTCTGCCGGGCATGAGGGCACACACCTTTAATCCCAGCACTCGGGAGGCAGAGGCAGGAGAATCTCTGAGAGTTCAAGGCCAGCCTGGTCTACATAGTGAATTTGAGGCCAGCTGGGGCTACAGGGAGACCCTTCTCAAAAACAAAACAATGACAACAAAAAACCCAAAAAACAAACGAACAAAAAACGAGGGGTTTGGAGCCAGACAACCTGGATTCAATTTTGACTCCACTTCTCACAGGCTGTGTGACCTAGGCAAGTTATTTAACTTCTCTGAGCGTTTGTTCTTTGACTTATACCACATCTCTCTCACAATTGTGAGGGCTCACTGAGGGCTTACTAGTAGAAAACCAGAGAGAATGTTCAGTAGCGCTTAGCCTTTGTGCTGCTCAGGTTGCTGCTGCTGCAGTTATCAGTCTGCTTTCTGCTTTTTCTTGGGACTTTCAAGGTCTCGGTCCCCTGCAGCTTTTCCTGCCTACCTCTGAGACCTGGTCTTGACTTCCCTGCCTCTATGAGCTACGCATCCTGCAGTTGTAGGACTTCCTGAGGAATGGTGTTGGCTGCTGTTGTATGGCTAACAGAGATAATAAATTTCTGTGGATGGCCGCAGCTGTGCTGTTTGGAGTGTGACTGTGACTGTGCCTGGGAATCTGTGTATAATAGCAGTTTCCTATTTAGATTGCCCTCCTCTGTTGTGTCCTCTCAGAACTCCCGTGGGTTTATATTATTTTGTGGTATCTTTCTTTTTTTGATCTTGGTGGCAGAGATAAAATTGGCTTTGCCTATGTTGGGCAAATGTTCTACTACTGAGCTATATCCTCAGCCCCTTTTCTATATTTGAATATAATTATTTAAAAATATTTTATTATTTTTATTTGATGTGTATAAGTGTATTGCCTGCATGTATGTAAGTGCACCCATGTCATGTAGTACCCTTGGAGGTCAGAAGAGGGCATTGGATCCACTGGAACTGGAGTTACTGATGGTTGTTAGCCACCATGTGGGTGCTGGGAATCAAACCCAGGTCCTCTGCATGAGCAGCCAGTGTTCTTAACCACTGAGCCATTCCTCCAGTCCCTTAATATATATATATATTTTATTGTGTGTGTATGTTTGTGTGTCTGTGCAGATGCATATGTATGTGTAGATGCACTTAGAAACTAGAGGACAACCATTCCTCAGGCACCAGACTCATTATTTTGAGACAAGTTTTCTCATTGGCCTGGAGCTCACCAAGTAGATTAGACTGGCCATCCAGCAAGCCCCAGGGATCTACCTGGCTTTATTTTCCCAGTGCTGGGTTTACAAACAAACATGTGCTACCATGCTTGGCTTTAAATTTTTTTTTTTTTTGATTTATTTAGTTTTATTTTATGTGTGTGTTTTGCCCTCTTGTAAGTGCACCATGTATGTGCAATGCCTGTGGAGGCCAGAAGAGGGTATTGACTCTCCTGCAACTGGAGTTACAGACAGTTGTTAGCAGACATGTGGGTGCTGGGAACCAAACCCAGGTCCTCTACAAGAGCAGCCAGTGAGTGCTTTTTAACTGTTTTAGTTCCCTATGCTTGGCTTTTTAATGTGGGTTCTGGGAATTGAACTCAGGTCCTTGTACTTGTATGTTACTGACTGAGGTATCGCCCCAGACCCTATTATTATTATTATAAAAAATTGAGACAGGGTCTTCTGCTATAGCCCAAGCTGACCTTGAATTCATAGCAATCTTTCTGCCTCAGCCTCCCCAGTTCTGGGATTATCAGCACACACTGCTGTACCTGGCTCCCTTTGTAATTTCTAATGACTTTAACTTGTTTTTTGTTTGTTTTGTTTTGTTTTTTTTTGTTTGCTTTGAGATAGGGTCTCACTATGTAGCCTTGGCTAGCCTGGAATTTGCTGTGTAGACCAGTATAGCCTTGAACTCACAGAGATTCACGTGCTTCTGCCTCCCAAGTTCTGGGATTAAAGGCATGCACCCCCATGCCTACATTAAATTTTTTAAAAAAGTAAATTGTTGGGCGTGGTGGCGCACGCTTTTAATCCCAGCACTTGGGAGGCAGAGGCAGGCGGATATCTATGAGTTCAAGGCCAGCCTGGTCTACAATAGTGAGTTCCAGGCCAGCTGAGGCTACAGGGAGACCCTGTCTCAAAAAGACCA